CTCGACTGCCAAAGACATTACCTTGACAACAGCCATCATATAAGGACTAGGAACATATATTGCGTTATCCACTTAAATATCTAGTGGGTTCAACACATCAGATTCTTCAGACTTTCCAGGTCGGCTCGCTTGCTTTTTACCTTCTTCCATTTGCCTACGTGAGCTCGTCCTCATTTCAACAACGCTCTCCTTAGTCTTGTTCAGCTTTTCATCATGTTCACATTTGAAGTTGCAGCAAGCTTCGAACTTCATCTTGTCGATGGCTATGTCTATGGTTTTGGAACCACCATGGTCTACCAAGGATTTGATGAAACTGCCTGTGTTGATTAGCAGCTTTCCATTTGCTGTAACCACACCCACAGCTATGGCTCCCTTCAAAAAGTTCATCATTTTTGCATTCCGAGAGAGAGAGCTCGTCATATCCTCTTCATTAATAAGTGTGTTGACATGTTTGTAGTCATCTAGGCTTACCTTGATGACTACTTCTCTAGGGTCTAATTTCTCGCTAACAATGATAGTCTGCTTGAATAAAGTGGGTAGGCCGTTTAAAAAGTATCGTGCGAATGCATTGACATGACCAGGTTTCATTTTAGAGAGTGGAGATAAGAGAGGAGGGAGTATAAAGAGGAGGAGAGAATATTACAGAGGGTGAGGGAATGAGGAAGAGGAGGAGGAGGAGGAGGAGGAGTGAGTATAAAGAGGAAGAGAGTATTAAAGAGGGTGAGGGAAGGAGGAGGACGACGAAGAGGAGAATGTTGCTGCATTACCCTTATGTCTGTGTATACGACAAAAAGATGCTTATAGTACTATCATTTGAAGTTTTGGAATTGTTGACTCCTTAATAGTTGGAAGTTTAATTTATTCTATAACTAAAGTATATTGTAGTGTTTGATAAATTATATAGAAAGTGTTTTAAATTTTTGATTAAAAAAATGTTTGGTAGTGCTGAAAAATGTTGTTGCTCAATTTGTACAAAATAAATAAAATTTACATACACACACACTCTCTCTCCCTCTCTCTCTCTCTCTCTCTCTCTCTCTTTATGAAGACATATTTGACAATTTCAGAAATGTTTCATTAAAAATTTGCTTTGTTAGGGTCTTGATCAAGATTGTCTTCGAATAATTTTAATGTATTCTTGTTTCAAATAATTTTGATGTATTCTTGTTAATGATGGCAATTGTCGAAGCCCGAGCCCAAGCGTTGTCGAAGCCCGACTAGGGCTCAGCCCTAAACCAATGCCCTAAGCCCCCTTCGTGCACACTCCAAAGGACCCAAATGACCAATTTGGCCTTCTTGCCGAACGACAAGCGTCGGGCCGAGCTACCAGAGGCCCAAGGCGCAAAAAAACAAATGAACAAAAAAACAAAAAACAAAAACAAAAAAAAGTGAAAGAAAAAAAAAAAAAAAAAGGTGACGAAACAGCCTTGCCTAACGGCAAGGCCTATGCTGAAGAAAAGAATGGCTCACCAAAATTTTTACAATTTTATCTTGCCAAAAGCCCAAGTCTAGAGCCTTATCCTATTATTTTAAACTCTCCCCGAAGCCTACCCAAGCCTTGCTGAAGGTTACCAAGGCTAGGGATGACAATAATACCTGTCGGGTCGGGTCCCCGCCCCTAACAGGGGGAGTTTTCGGGGGGAAATCAAGGTCGGGTATGGGGATCCCCGAATTTGCAAAATCCCTGGTTGGGGATGATATTGTTATCCTCATCCCCGAATCAGGCTCGATAAGTAATTTATTTATTTATAATTAATATATATATTAATATAAATAATAAACGAAGTTACCCTAGCGTCGCTCCTTATTCCTTATACATTGCATAGGGTTGGCACGCACAGCAGCATAGTCAAATGAGCTTATCTGATACATTGTTTAACCAAACTTGGCAACAACATAGTGGATTGGTCTGCTGCTTTTATTGGTTGTTAGGAAAACCAAAATCCTCAAACATACCATGAATGATGAGGAAACAAAGTGGAAGGTTAAAACTCAGAAGTGTTTATAAAAAAAGCTAAGTTTTTGTACGCCATCAAGTAGGCCATTTATGAAAACCGGGGATTGGGCGGGTATGGGAGGCACTTCCCCGACGGGGATGGGGACGGGGATTCCACGAAAAGCTTAAACCGGGGATTAGGGAGGGGACGGGGATGGGGACGGGGATGGTATTGTCATACCCAGCCCCTAATCAGCCTGTTGCCATCCCTAACCAAGGCTCATGCCACACCCTAGGTTCATAATCTGGCCAAGCCGAGACCACCTTGGGCCCCTTGCCGAACGGCAGGGACCATGCCGAAGGTCCAAAGAGGCACGCAAAATTTTTCTATTGCCAAAACTCATGCCTAGCACCTGAGCCATACCTTCAAGGGTTGACGCAACGTCTAACTTGTCAACTTGGGGGACTAGGGAACGCCCTACGACTCCCACTAATCAGTTATGCTCAATCATGATTATACAAGAAACTCACAAGTTCCCAACCCATAAGTTACTTCTTGATTGCAAACTTGGGGGACTACTGTTTACACCATATCTATAAATCAAGTTAATTAACAAGAAAACATATCATACAAGAAAAGGAATAAAAATAACAAAAGTCATATAAAGAGGAACACACTGAATCATACAAGAATAAAGAGAAATCTTAGTTAGATATAGGATTGCAACAATATGAGGGAGCTCTCTCTCGATCTCACCCATTCTTGTCCTCACCAAATCGACGGCGATGGCTTATGCGGCGGCGTTGTCGTCGCTCTCTCTCTCTCTCTCTCTCTCTCTCTCTCTCGACCTCACCCTTCTTTCTCTCTGTCACCTCTTTACCTCGTATGATTCAATTGATTTTAAGGTAAACATACTAGTTTTTAGGGTTTTATGAAATTTGTTGTATATCTTTATGCATTTTTTTGTTAGATTTGCTTAGTAGATCATTAGGGTTTCGAAATTTTGGTATTTTGTTGAAATTAACGATTTTTTCTTAGTTTTATAGCTTAGTCTCTGCAAGTTTCGATTAATAGGCAAAAATGAAGTTATAACTATTTCTCTGTCTTAATCTCTAGGCTAGGATCTGATTAACATAAAAAGTTTAAAGTTTGGTTTTAATCTCTAGGCTAGGATCTGTCAAAGATGAAGAGACGGCCAGTAAACTGGTGGACAACAGCCTCTAGCAAGTGATGAAAAAATGTTTCTCTGTGAGACGTTAGCCTCCAGCTCATGCAATTGAAGAAATCAAGGTTGAGCAAGTGGCATTATGGGTGCAAGTGAGAGGGATACCCTTTAATCTGTGTCATGAGGACAACATGTTCAAGATAAAGGATAAGATTGGAGATATGATCGGGTACGAAAACCCAAACTAGGCTAGAGGTTTTCTTAGGTTTTGAGTCTGGGTAGATATTGTGGGATTTCTGCTACAAATGCTGGAGAATCGGGCACTACTCGAATGAATGCCAGTTTGAAGCACCCTTAGAGGGCACTGCTGCCTATGATGACTGGACCCGCACTATCATTATTCGAGAATTCTACGAGCTAAAATCGAGAAACATCATCACAGGTGAACGTAGGAGAGCAGCTACATTCAATAGGAGGGCCAAACAGAAAGAGGATGGAGCACGTGCAGGCAAGTGGAATCAAAATGATGTGGGTATTACTTCCCAACAACTGACAAGTCAGATTGGGGTCAGATGAGATGATAGAGCAGATAGGGATCTGAGCATCCAACGGTATACCAATCTGCCAACCCCTTCATTGACCCAATCAAATTTGACACCAAGAACAAGAAGTTGTCTAGATCTTTGGTCTCGAGGAGGATTCGAGGCAAGAGCAGAGCTTATCCTTCAGGAATTAAACGTGGTCTCCTCCATCACTAAACTAGCAAACAAGACGAGGCCCATGTCTTTTGAAGAAATGAAAGAGTTGGCCAAGGACCAAATGAAGAAAGGTAATGTCTTTATTACAAATTGGACACGTCCAGGGCCAAACTCCAGGGTCGAGAGGATGGATTTAGGCCCATTTGGTCAGCCTATTCAGATCGAGCCAATCTTACAAAACCCTTTTCAGTATACTCAGAAGAATTTTAAGGCTCAGGCAAGTTCCCCTGGAGAATTGGGAACATGTCAAAAAAGAGTGGCAGCGCGTACGGAAGAACATACTTATGAATCCCTTAGGAAGAAACAGAAAGGTGTTATTCTGGAAGTGTTTCATGATGATGGTAGCCATGGAAAACTGATGGGCAATGGTATGGCCAAAACCAATTGAAGAAGGGTTTATCTTAGAGGGAAGAATGGCTCTAAACAAGGAAAGTCAAAGGCCATGTGCCTATTCATGGATGAGGTGAATTTACAAGAAGTAACGATGCATCAGACTGAACACTGGCAGTCTATTGGTGACGAAATTCAATAAGCCACATAGTTTGGAATTGTCAGGAACTTGGGTCGGACCTGACAGTTCGACTCCTGCACGGGCTCATTTGGAAGCATAGACCCTTTGTTGTCTTCCTAATGGAAACAAAAATGCGTGACGACAGAATTTCGAGTGTTCGAATGAGAATGGGTTTTACTGACAATTTCAATGTGCCCCCAGTTGGATCTACAGGGGGGTCTTAGTCTATGGTGGGATGAAAGTGTTAAGGTGACAATATGGAGATCCTCTCAAAATATGATTGATACAAAGGTGGAGATAATTCAAATAGGCCAGGAATACAAAGCCACATGGATTTATGGTACTCCATATAAAGAAGAGAAGGGGCTTTTCTGGAGATGGCCGGGTAATATTCTTTCGGCATGTACGACCCCATGGTTTAAATTGCAATAAAATCAAATTACAATGATCAAATTGTCATAATTGAAACCATATAGACGAAAGTAGAAATTTCATCAAACTACAAGGATTAAAAGTAAAACCTAGCAGCCACCCAATCCCGCCCAATAGGCCCTCACCCCCTCCCTCCCCTGTTCACCGCTAGCCCTCTTCTCTTCTATATCTCTCACTTCCCCTCCCTTGAAGTTGGTAATTGTTGTTGATGTTGATTTGATCCAATCCCGTTAGAATTCAGTGGCAATTCAAACACTATTCCCTCATTGCCATACTTGGTGGCTCGAATTAAAGATGCCATAACCACATTTTCATCAGCTAATTCTTCTTGGCCACTTGGTTACAATTGGTACATTTTTTTTAATTTTTAATTTTTTTAACTTGTTGGTACTTCACGTTAGTGTCTAATTCCAATGGAGACCCCAAAGCCGCCCTCCCTTGCCGCTTCTTCGGATTCCTACGCATTTCACCTACAAGCATGCCTCAGAAAGAGAGACTTATTTTCTGGGAAATCAATCCATGCCCAAATCATCAAATCCGGGCTTCACTTCGGAGTGTTCTTAATGAATAACCTTATGAGCTTGTACATGAAAACTGGGTATTCTTTAGATGCTCACCGTGTGTTTGAGGAAATGCCTGTGAGGAATACACTTTCCTGGAATGCGATTCTCTCTGCTTATGCAAAGCAGGGAAAATTTGATGCAGCACGTAGAGTTTTCAATGAAATGCCTGAACGCGACTCTGTTTCATGGACTTCCATGATCGTGGGTTACAATCAGATGGGTCGTTTTGGTAATGCCATTCAGATGTTTGTAGATATGATTTCAGATGGAGTGACGGTGACCCAGTTCACGATTACTAATATTCTTTCCGCATGTGCTGCTGTTAAAGCTTTGGATGTTGGTAGGAAGGTTCATTCGTTTGTTGTTAAACTTGCAGTTGGTAGTTATGTTTCTGTTGCAAACTGTCTTCTAAACATGTATGCAAAATCTGGTGATCCAAGGACAGCAAAGATTGTTTTTGATAGGATAAGATTGAAAAACACATCGAGCTGGAATGCTATGATTTCTTTGCATATGCAATGTGGTCGTGCTGACCTTGCTCTTGTTCAGTTTAAGCAAATGACAGAACGCGACATCGTTTCTTGGAATTCAATGATTGCAGGATACAATCAGCATGGGCTTGATATGGAGGCACTGACTATCTTCTCAAGTATGCTCAAGGATTCTTTTCTAAAGCCCGACAAGTTCACTTTGTCAAGTGTTTTGTCAGCTTGTGCTAACCTTGAGAAGTTGGAAATCGGGAGACAAATCCATGCCCTTATTATAACTGCTGAGCTTGACACATCCCAAGCAGTGAAAAATGCTTTGATCTCAATGTATGCTAAGTCTGGTGGGTTGGAAATTGCTCAAAAGTTTTTAGAGCAATGTGTGACTTCAGACCTCAATGTTATAGCTTTTACTGCCCTATTGGATGGATACATAAAGCTTGGGGATATAAACCCAGCCAGACAGATATTTGATTCATTGAGAGACCGTGACGTGGTTGCATGGACAGCAATGATTGTTGGTTATGTGCAAAATGGGTTGAATGATGATGCTTTGGAGCTCTTCAGGGAGATGATAAATGAAGGCCCCAGACCAAACAGCTACACCTTAGCGGCTATGTTAAGTGTTAGTTCAAGCATGGCTTCTTTAGACTATGGTAAACAAATTCATGCAAGTGCCATGAGGTCAGGGGAAGTGTACTCAGTTTCTGTGAGCAATGCTCTAATTTCAATGTATTCCAAAGCTGGAAGCATCAATGGTGCAAAGCAAGTATTCAATTTGATTCACTGGAACAGAGATACTGTTTCTTGGACTTCCATGATTATAGCCCTGGCCCAACATGGTCTTGGGGAAGAAGCCATTGAACTTTTTGAGAAGATGCTGTCACTTGGTATTAAGCCTGACCATATAACATATGTTGGCGTGCTTTCGGCCTGTATACATGTGGGACTGGTGGAACAGGGCAGGAGCTACTATAATTTGATGAGGAACGTACACAAAATTGAACCCACCCATAGCCATTATGCATGCATGATTGATCTGCTTGGGCGTGCTGGATTGCTTCAAGAAGCGTTCAATTTTACACAAAGTATGCCAATTGAGCCAGATGTTATAGCTTGGGGTTCACTTTTATCTTCTTGTAAGGTTCATAAAAATGTTGATCTGGCAGAGGTTGCAGCAGAAAGATTGCTGCTTATAGATCCAGACAACAGTGGGGCCTACTCATCCCTTGCTAATTTGTATTCAGCTTGTGGAAGATGGGCAGATGCTGCACAAGTTAGAAAGTCAATGAAGGATAGGAGAGTGAAGAAAGAACAAGGATTTAGTTGGATTCAGATTCAAAACAAAGTCCATGTGTTTGGGGTTGAAGATGGAGGTCACGCACAGAGAGATGCAATCTACAAGATGATGGAAAAGATATGGAAAGAGATCAAAAATATTGGCTTTATTCCTGGCACTGAATCAGTATTGCATGACGTTAGCGAAGAAGCAAAGGAGAAGATGCTTAAATACCACAGTGAGAAACTTGCCATTGCCTTTGGGCTAATAAATACTCCAGAGAACGCTACACTGAGGATCATGAAAAACCTCAGAGTTTGTAATGACTGTCATTCTGCCATCAAATTTATATCCAAGCTTGTGGGCAGAGAAATCATTGTGAGAGATGCAACTCGTTTTCACCATTTTAAGAATGGGCTGTGTTCTTGTCGGGACTATTGGTAGGCATAGGCATAAGCATGAGGATTTAAACATAGTTTGGCTCAAGTGTACAGAAATTGATGTTTGTAGTATTTGCTATCAGGAAGATGGTTGATAATTGGAAAAGAGAGCAGGTGACTGTAGCCTAACCTGTTGGTTCCATACTGCTTGCTATTAGAAGCCTCTTGGATTGAGTTTCAAGTGAAACTCTTTTTTCGGAAATCATGTTAGCATGTTGGGAGACATTACAATATGGCAATTGGTAGTGCTGCTATACCTTGGAGGTGCATTGTCTTTGAAAGAATTATTTGCCACAGATTCTAACATGGTTAGGGTGCTGACAGCCAGAAGTGAAAACAAGGGTTTTTGTTATTTTGATATACATTACCGAGTCATTCTCTAACAGCTTAAACATTTGCGGTCAAGTGGTAATCTAATATGGTATCAGTGGTTGTAGAAGGTCCTCCTGGTTTAAACCTCCCATTCCTATTCCGTACTTTTAAGGTTTTTTTGCTGGATTGAAGAGGTAAATTATCTCCCTAATTGTTTGGTTTTCTGTTGGGATTTCGTTTCATTGATGAGTTAAACCCTAATCCCCAATCAAGACATGCTTCATTGGGAATTAGGGTTGGTTTTAATCTGAAACCCAATCAAGAATCAGGGTTCTGTGATGAAGAACCCTAATTCCCAATTAAGACACAGAACTCGAATTCCAATTAAGCGTTTCTTAATTAGGTTTCTGTTTATTTTCTTGATTGGCTGAGAACAGGGCCATAAAGATTGTATTTAGTGTGTGTTCTTCTGCATGTTATCTTTTCCAAGTTATTTTCTCTTTCTGTGATGTAATAAAAAATAAAAAATAAAAAATTTGGTGCTTTCTTGGTGGATATATACGCAGAAGTACTCTGTGTGATTTTCAAGGTTTCTGCTATTAAGGTTTACTTTCTCATTTTCAGGTCAGTTGATCACCAGTGGAATTTTGATTGTTTTGCTACGGGTGGAGTTGGAGTAGATATATGAAACCACAACAGGTTTTGTTCCTGCCCTGGTTATTCTTCTATTAAGTAAAAAAAAAACTGTTTATCCCTCCTACCATGACAATGACTTTGTGATGCATAGGTCTGCACCAGAGCAGAGTTTTGAATGGGGAACATATACAGTTGTATCTGTTCGGTTTAATCCTGGACAGCCAGATATCTTGGCAACATCAGCAAGGTATGCATTGATGCTTGTAGATAAGATACTCATCTAGTTATAAAAACTAGTACATTAAGTACATTAGATACCATACCATGTGCTTGTTTATAATGGTTTTTGGTCCTGGATACATTGCTTTCTAATTTGAGCTTGCAGCTACATTTGTTTTGGTGTAATAAGGAATGGTACTGATAAAGGACTTAAGTATATAGCATCTTGAGAAACGTTTCTTGTAAAAGAAGGTTCAGCTGCAAAGGGCAGCTGTGTGCTGGTCAGCGTCCATTTTTCTTATGGAAACATGTTCCTCTTCCCCCTTGTACTCTCTTCCTCTAATATACCATGAATTTGAAGGAAATTTGAAATTTCCAATATTACCAAAAATCTGCATATCTTTCTGCTATTCTGTGAACATGTAGTAAAGAGCCAAACCGGCAATTAGTTCATCCATTTTGGGAAGTTGGTGGTTTCTTTTGTTACAACGACATAATTGGTTTCAATCCATGCTTTCTGTAATGATTTTATTCCATCTTTCCTTGTTTGTAATGATATTTAGGAGAGAAAATTATAAATGATATCTTTTTTTTCTGGGTAGTGATTGCAGCATATGAATCGCGCATGGGGTAACCACGGCGAAGAAGTTTACATGAGGGTAGGTAATATTGATGCTAAATTATCACTGTCTGATTTAGCCCCTTATTTTACTGTTGTTAATGTCAAGGTAAGGTTCTTAGCAATATTTGTTGATTTCTCTTAAATTTTCGCATGTATTGGCCTTTCTGACTTGCATTCTCTTTTTTTTTATATTATCAAATAACTTGCGTTCTCTTTGGACAGACAAAAAATGATGGGAAATCAAAATATTCTCCTACAGGGTCTCTGGAAATGGATCTGAAGATTATTTGGATGGTCAAGGGCTCAGGATGATTGCCACTTTTGAATTCAATCTGACGCCCAATTTCGTAGTTTGATGTTGAAGCCCAATGCAAAGAAAATTTGGGCTTCATATTTAACGTTCAAAAGTTGAAAAATATATTTTCAACCAATTACTTTCGTGTACGTTAGGCTAGTTGGCAAAGGCATTGTGCATGTCCCTTTGCACCCGTATTCGATCCCATTCTCATACATTACAATAATTAAAAATATTGAATTGTAAAAAACAAAAACCTTGGAGCTATATTTCAACATTTTGAGTTTTTAACCTCAAAAGATTTTTCAGACCGAAAAAAACCTTATAAGATTTTTGTATGCCATTTAAAGCCCTATGTCACTTTGTGAAACAGTATTTATACAAAATTCTTTATGTGAAAACCTATGGAAATGTGGGATCCCATTGGTTCCTAAAAGCCCTTGGGCCAAAAATCGACTCTTCAAATATTGTTTTACATCATCTGTGCACACAAAGCTTAATTCACATGAGTAGTGGCATTTCCACAAATATGGAAAATTGGATATCCATAAAATGATAAATGACGAAAATAGTTCGATTGAGCCGGGACTTCGTCATGTGCTTTCCAACCAACTCCAATACATACACGCCATTATGGGACTGAAAAAAGAAACGTCCAGTACACTTTAATAATCGCATCTAGTGATCTCCTGCAGGGATGGTTAAAGAACCCTATATCTTTTAAGTTTATCGTATCTTTACTATTATTATTTTTTGTGAGTAGAATCAAAGCTTAAACTAAGATCAAAAGGATTGGCGAGCATCTCAATATATAAGAGCTCACATTGATAGCCAATTAGTAGCTACGCTCTTCTCGCATAACAATCAGAAAGACCCCCCCCCCAACTGATAGAGCACTCATTTTCATCTATATTCCTCGATTTCGACAAGACATTAAGAATTACAGTCCTCAAAAAATGCATTAGAAATAAAATATGGAGGTTACTCAAATCTCATTCTAGAATCTTCAATATGTAAAGCGAATTTCGAGAACCGATGAGAAATTTCATTGGCTGTGTGACGGATTTGGATAAAAGCTTATTTTGAGTACCATAGATCATCACAGTGGATTATGTACCAATGTGAAATTCAGGAATATGATCGTGACTCGTGAGTAGGCATAGCATAGCATATGATATTGTCCCCACTTTTTCTAGCTAAATGTACAAAGGACACGTGTTAGGAACCCAAACATGCCTGCCCTCTATATATATCTTGAAAAGATTCGGAGCATCCTAGTACGTAGTAGTATGTAAACCTTTGCTTTCAAAGATATTGTTTGGCTTCAAAAGGAAAATGCCGAAATCGGTTTTGGTTATTCATAGAATGTGTATGGTGAGAGTTGAGTATGAGAATATGTTCCTTTTCCATAGAATATTTGCAGACGATAGACAACTAGTATTGGAAATGGTAACCACCCAATGCGCCTTTCTTGTAACCATCAACAGCCCACCAAACCAATGTCAAAATTTTTATTGTTGTGGTGTGGATAGAAATTACGAAGCCTGCCAAAATTGGCATCAGATGCCAATCAATCAATCCCCATAGGCCAAAGCAGAGTCTGTCTAGGACAGCAGATGATGAGAGAGAGAGAGAGAGAGAGAGAGAGAGAGAGCACTCTCCAAGTGACATTGTCCTTCCTCTGCTTTGTGTGGCTACTTGCCACTGCTAGTGTCCAACAAGGCCTAGGGTTTTCTAGCTCAGCTTTGTCAGCCATCAACAAGGCTTAGCTGAAATGCACGATGAAACCCTTTTAGCTTACAGCACAATGTCATTGATTCCCTCAAATTGCTTAAATATAAATATAGTAGCATGAAAGCGAAACGAAATATATACAAAAATATATATTTTAGTACAAGTGATCGGAAAAATGCAATTTACATAAATATTCATTAGATATTTGGGAATTTCGAATTTTTTTCTACGTGAATAGATGTGAAAGAGCTCAACTAACTAAATTATGCCTTACTGACGAAAGCAAAAGAAAATACATATATCTAGACAACCGGAAAACTGCCAAAATCCATTAAACAATGATTGATATGCTCTTTATTAATATGTGATTAATTAGACAATGTTCAAATGGAAGGCGTGGTTCTACAAGAAATGATTGTGACAACTCACGATATCACATGGACTGATTATTTTTCTCCTCACATTTGAGGCGTTAATGGGGTCATGCTTCTAATCTTAGCCAAAATTTGATAGGTCTAGTTTGACTAATTGGTTGGCGCACAACTTTAATAGCGACAAGGGTTAAAGATTAGTACTCTAATAAAACGAGTGGCACTGGCAAGGGGTCCTCTCGATTTTGTAACTCGAAACGGCAAAGTCCTTTTTCTACCTTTTTTTTTTTGGTTCACATGATTCCCATTCCAATCTAGTTTGGGTGTATAGGTTGCCTAGGAGAGAGGTAACATTTGTTGACGGGTAAATATGAAGGACTTATTCTTTTTTTATACAAATGACTTTAAATTAATTTAATTTATAAAAAGAATTATTCGAATTTGGGTGTGAGGGGGTTGGCTCACTGTCCTAATTAAGGAGACCCACATTTATAGACCATCTTATGTGCTATCTTTCTAAACTTTTATGGACCACACCCGTATTCAATAACCGCATATTTCTTTTTCCGCCCCTAAGTTTTATGACCTAACTCTTGCCCTTTTTTTTGGGTAGTGACGTACGTGAACAATGAGATGCGTTGAAATGCATCTCAACCGGTTATTATCTCTAATAGTCAGCGAGCACAGGTGCATTTTTAATTGAAATCTTTGTTATAAAATAATGATATACAATGCTTTTTTTAATTTCGAATTTGTAACATAAGTGAGGTTTATATACTTTAATATGAGAAGGTTGACTGCGCTCAATCTAAATAATACTCAAAATGTGATGCAATTAAGGGACATCTCATAATTTTTAAAAAAATAAAAATACGATGTATATTTATACGTACTTTAAATTTTTATTTATTTATGAAAATATACGTACTTTCATTTAAGTTGTGTTGAACTATGCAATCTGCCAGAATTTTAATCCAGAACTTTCGAAAGGGTTTGAAAGCTCAGTCATTAAGCTAAACTTTATGGATAAAATGACTTCTTCTCTTCTTCGTTTTCTGCCTAATTATGAGCATTAAAAAAATAAAGTAGGAAAATGTCAACTGTTTGTGCCCTTTCAGGATACCTAAGAACACATTTCTTCGACCTTTTTTTGCCCTCAAATCTTATATGACTAAGATAGATGATAGAAGAGTGCTCTCTATCTGTTAAGAAGTGTAGACATATCAAACTTCCACCTCTAGGAAGAACAACAAATAGAAACGTATGTATTGTTGAGTTATCTCCTAACTGTTAATTAGAAGTGTAGACATATCAAACTTCTAATAGTTAAGTTGATTCAGCATATGCGGGTTAGGCCAATTGATCGTGCGTATATCCTCTCTTCGTAATTTAGAATATTTTAGAGTATTAGAGTATCGCTTTGTAAAACAAAACAAAAAATGTTTCCAATGAGCTTCGATACATCTTATGTGTAACAAATGTTGAGTTAAAAAATACATAGAATGTGATGCTACAACTAGACATTGCATATACATAGACTGTCGATTATTATTTATTAAAATTATGTCAAATTATATAATCTGTTTGTGACGAGAGTTCCATAAGGAATCTGATAATGAGTAAATTTATTAAGATTTGTAAAAACTATTTTTTTTTTTTTTAATCGTGACCTTGTAGCTTTGAAACCAATGCATATAAAACGTACCCAACATCTTACATCATAGATGACAACAACAATGTCAAAATATTTTATTTTTAAATTTGGATCAAGTGAATATAGTTTTTTTTTTTTCCTTGTTAATGTACAAATACAATTAACATAGCTTGAAGTTTGTGGCCTCCCAGTATATCAGTTCTTAACCAATACAAGAGGTGTCCTACAAAGGAAAACAAATCTGATAGTTGTTTTAGTTATTTTGTTCGATTCCATTATTTTTCTGGTTATTAAGAAAAAAAAGGTATAGAGACGTAGAGTACAATCAACCCTTAGAATAGTCGCTGTCCCAAAAAGGAAGAGAGCCTTACGATAGTCATGCAAATAATTTTTGGCTGAAGTGTAACGTTTTTTCTTTCTTTTTTTTTTTTATAGAAATTTTGGGATTGCATTCTTTATTCAGTCAAAAAAGTCACTAGTCACAAATGGTCAATACAAATTAGCCATAAAGGGGCTATCTCCAACAGACTCTCTATCCTCTCATCCCTAGCTACTTTGGCTAAAAAGAAGGAAAATCCTCCTCCAGCAGACTCCCTACTTGACTCTCTATTTTGGAAAACAAACTTTTGACTCTCCACATCTAGCAAAGAGGAGAGAGAATTTGGCTAGGAAGAGAGAGAGAGAGAGATAGAGACATTTGGGAGGTTGGTGGGGTTGAGTTTCTATTATTTTTAATAAATATATTGGATTTGCAAGAGAAAGAGAAAATAAAAAATAAAAAATTTAGATTAGCCAAAATAGAGAACATTGCTGAAGGAAACACCTTTTAAGTGGTTTGCTATAATAGCTTTCTAGCTATTTTAGTTAAAATTTGGCTAAAATTTGGAGACTCTCCTAGAGATGACAATAACGAAGCAATCTAACATCAAAATTAAGAAAATCTAGGGCTGCTCTATTAACATTTATGCAGGATCGAAAAAACTCTATCATAGGCATCTCAACTAAGAGTGCAAACTTAGAACAACTAAAAAGAGATTAAAGGCTAGTTTGGCATTGCTGTGTTGTGAAAATAATCGCTGTTAGATTTGCTGTGAGAGAAAGCAGTTTGGCGTTTGGTAAATTTTTTGTTAAAAGTGTTGTTGGTATTGATTTTACGCATAATCAGAAAATGATTGCCGCATAATCATTAAACCCAGCGCTTCTTCGAAACTGATTCCTGCATAATCGAAAAATGAAAGCACATCATTAGTTGCTTTCCTTTATGGCTTTCTCTCACAACAATTTTTAACAATAAGTAATTTTCTCACAGTTTACCAAACGGGTTGGGCTTCTCAAAATTTTAAAAAAATCACTTATTACCCCAAATAAGCAATGTCAAAAGAGCACTAAGTTTAAAAAAACCAACCCATAAAACTCTCACAAAAGAGAGTGGAAAGCTTTCACAAAGGAAATGTGAAAAACTCTCACAAAAAGAGAAGTGTGAGAAGTGTAATGTTGT